CCCAATTTCTTGAGTTTCTGTCTTATCGGACCATGACCAGTCAGCGCAAAGCCTAGGTGAAGGCCGCTCCTCGCCCACGCAGGCCACCTATCCTTAACCACCGGAGCAAAAAGGTAAGTTACCCTCCCCCTTTCGCTATTATCCCACCCCGTTTGCCATACGGCCATTATTTTGTTTTTAATACACTTTTTAATTTCAGACTTTTTAACCCCTTTTGTATTACAACTTATGCCTAAAATTTCTTTACAAATACCTTTCTTTTTCAGGTTTCCAACGTACCTCCCGGCAGCCACCAAATCCAATGGCGGACATCCAGCCAAGACTTGCAGTGACTCCGTGGGGGCGGTTCTACACACGGGCATCATGGCCACCAGCATGGCTCGCTGAATTGACTGCAGCTTCCTCCTGAGATGCGAGTTACTCAGCCTTTCGCCCCATACTTTTACCCCATACAGCGCCACGCCCAGGAACAATCCCATGTAAATGGTACGGAGAGCGCTTCTCCCCATTCCCCATTCCGCCCGCATCACCCCTTTGAGTTTGGCCACCATCGATACGACCTTGGCCCTGGTCGCCACTAGATGAGGCAAATACGTCCACTTCTCATCCATTGTAACCCCTAGATAACAAACAGTAAGAGAGTATTTTACGGACTCACCTCCGATTTTGAGTATTGGTTTCCGTTTCATGTTCCCTTTCAGGAGCATCATCTGTGTCTTCGCTGCTGCTATCCTCAAACCATTGTCCGTTATCCAGGACTGTATTCGTGACAGAGCCGCAGTCCCATTTTTTTTCAATCTCCGACCTGCTACTGCCTTTGACCAAGATGAGAAGGTCGTCGGCGTAGGCTACCACTTCCACCCCCGTGAACTCCATCTCCAGTAACTCGTCCAGGAGTATGCCCCAGAATCTTGGTCCAAGAACCGAGCCCTGAGGACACCCCCTGGTCATTCCGCGAGTAACCGCACCCACTCCCGACGTCATACCAACTACCCGGTTCCTGAAGTAATCCCGCACTACTTCATACACCCCACCCGGCACTTTGGCTATTTGAAGCCTTCGGAGCACGCTCGGCCACCAAACCGTGTCAAACGCCGCGGCGATATCAACGAACACGCGTAACACGTAGGCACACTGGCACGACAAAACACTTTCCCGCACTGTAACCAGCGCATCCGCTGTTCCTCTCCCTTCACGGAAGCCAAACTGCTTCACGCTGTGCCCCACGTTATCGCTGTAACACTTGTCGATTTTGTACCATAACAAGCGTTCAAACAACTTGCCCAGCACTGGCAGGAGTGATATCCGCTTCATAAGCATCACCGCCTCTGCAGCCTTCCATTGGCTTGGAAATATTCGCTCCTCAAGGCACTGGTTGTAGAGATTCTTAAGCACGCCGGGCCTCACCTCCCAGAGTTTTTTTTACGTATTCGGGATATATTCCATCCTTACCCGGCGACTTTCCTGACCTCATCCCTTTCACTGCTCTATTTATGTCATACATACTGAACCACACCTCCGCGGCATCCGTCTCATACTCTTCCCCTTATACCACCCCCACCTCCTCCTCTCTACAGATCACAAGTGCTTCTAAAACTTTTACCGCCGTTTCCTTCCACCCTACCGTTTCTCCATCTTCAGACACTATGGAGTGCACTAGGTCTCGCACCGGCAAGTTATCCATAGACATCTTATATAGTAAACCCCATGGGTCATCACTATTCTTTCCGACGAACTTAACCCACGCTTCCTTTTTTGCCGCCTCTATCATATTTTTATATTTGTTAGTCCGCTCTCTCAGGTTAGCTTTCAGCAGCGGCACCCTATCACCTCCCCCCCTCAGTTCTCTCTGTAATTCTTTCCGTATTCCACGCACTATTCCCCTCTCCCTGCCCAACTCCCTGTTCCACCAGCGACAACGGTTCTTCTTTTCTTCACGTTTCCCGATTGTAACCTCTATTACTTTTTGCAGTCTGGTACTCACTTCCCGCACCGCCGACTCCGCATCCTGTGAGCTCACTTTTCCGAACTTTTGTCCGATCATTTCGCCTACCACACCCCAATTTACTTTTTTAACACTTCTTTTAATTGTTACCTTTTCTGTTTCAGGTTCCCCGACGCGTATTCCGAAGAGGATGGCCCTATGGTCCGAAGACGTTTCAGCAACCACCCTCCAGTCCAACACCGAACCGAGAAGACGCGACCCGAATATGGTTAAATCGATGTTAGATTCACCGTTGTTAGTGGAGAATGTCGTTAGCTGCCCCTCCTCATTGGCCAGATGTAGTCGACTGGTAAGTATGTATTCCTGTAGCCTTTCACTCTTCTCGTCTAGGACCCTGTCGTGCCAGAGCGGCGACCGCGCATTCGCGTCCATAGCGATCACCAACGCGCCGTTCCCGAGATCACGTTCGATTCTCTCGAGTTTCTCTATATAACCATCGATGCCTTCCCGGTACTGGCAATACATCGACACGAAAACTACCTTCACAACACCGATTTCGCACGCAACGGAGACAACGTTCGAGCTCGTGTACGACCCCAGCACCGTTACAACCATCGCACCATTCAGCACTACGATAGCCGCACCGACATCCTCGCCAACGCCCTTGATTAGCCGACCGACACTATTTACCGACATCTCGATCTCTCGCGAGAAGTATGGCTCCTGTATTAGCAGCAAGTCCACACCCCTTTCCACCGCACTTTTTACTACTTCGCCCATCACAGCCCGCGACCTCTGGCAATTAAGTTGCATTACTTTAAACTTGAATGTACCGCGTTTTTTCTCGCCGGAGTTGTATAATAATAATAATGCTAAATAATAAATCTTCCTCTTTCCATGCAGCTCTGAGGTTTTTTAGTAACGCAATTTTTTCATGCACATAAACATCAAACGTTTCACAACGGTCACTCGTGAACATTGCGGCGTCAAGTAATAGTTTACCCAGATTACGTTTCGGTGGGAATGCAGAAATAAAATCGCTTTTAAAAGTTTCCCAAGTACGTACCTCAGGTATCCAAGAATTAAACCAACTAGACGCAATACCTTGTAACGAACGTCCAATTCGCAAAAACATGTGCTGATCGGTCCATGCAAATTCACCCTTAATAGATTCCAGTTGCTCGATCCATTTACCAGCGTCCATACTATCCGGGCGAAACACAGGTAGATCAAAAGGCTCTGTGGCGGCGTTGGATTGTTTCAACATTTTAATAAATTCACTCATAAATTGCTCCATTTCCTTTTTCTTTTATATTCAGCTCGTGGGCGAATCCCACTTCTGATGTTAGGTAATTTTTCAAAAATTTTGATAACGATAATATAAAGTAGGGCGCACTCAAAAACAATGACACTCGTATTAAAAACACTTTATTACGCAAGACGCAACTATTAGAACAGCAATTGACACGGGGTCCGAACCAAGAATGTNGGAGCTACCCTGCTTACCTACGAGGAGTTCTACACTGTATTAGTTCAAATTGAGGCTGTTTTGAACTCTAGACCTCTTTGTGCAATCTCCGAGGATCCTAGCAATTATGACGTTCTTACACCAGCTCATTTCTTGATTGGTTCGGCTCTTAATATCGTTCCCGAGCCGTCCCTCTTAGACGAAAATGTATCTCGTCTCTCTCGCTGGCAAGCTCTTCGACGAATGGTAGAGGATTTCTGGAGAAAATGGGAAAGATTCTACCTTCAATCAATCCAGAACTCGACTAAATGGTTTGATAAACGAAACCTACCAGAGATTGGAAGTCTGGTACTCGTCAAGGATGAGCGACTCCCTCCAGCTAAATGGTTGATGGCACGAGTTCTTCAGCTTCACTCCGGTTCCGATGGCAATGTCAGGATTGCCACAATAAAGACGCCTACTACCACACTAATTCGTCCTATCGCTAAGTTATGTGTACTTCCCTGTTAAAGATTTTGTTTAATTCCCCACAACGAAGATATATGTTTATATCTATTTTCACTTACTTGCAATTTTGTTGTTTATTTCTTATTTTTGTCGACGGTACATGTTTTCACTTTTCAATTCTTATTTTGATACCGTAATTTTCGTTAACTCTCTGTTCAAATTCGATTCAATGCTTTGTTTAACTGTCAAATGAATTGTGTCCCTTTGCGTTTACTCTTTCGATTTCGGTAACCCCTTTTGTACACATTTTGTAAGTCCATGTGGACAGTTAGACGAAAGGTCGCGATTTATTTCTTATATAGAATTCTTTATTTTCATTTCACAAAGTTATCTGTTTTGACGTTACCGCTTTTCATAACGTTTTCTTTATTGCCGACGTGCTCGGCAAGGCGGGCGGAATGTTTAAAATTCAATTTATAACTTCAAAATTAATACGTTTATTCATTTATTTATTTTAATTTTTGTTTGAGTGTTGAGTGGTGCGTGCGCAGAAATTTCAAAACGTGTAATGTAACTAGTTATGTCTTTCAATAAATTCTCTTTTGTGTCCAGCCTTCAAGTGTATCAGTTCTTCCTTGTGAAACGAGTTATTCTTTGTGTAAATTTAAACATTGATTAAAAGAGTAAGACTTAATTATAAACATTATCATATCCCGGAACTTACCTTCAATTTTCTGTCGTTCACTATAAACTTTTTCGAGTTAACGTTAAATAATCTATTTTCTTTTTTTAAAACAAATTTTCTTGAACTGTTTTCGAACATGCAGTCTCTTCCGTCTTTATTAATCGCTTTTAATTCACTAAATAATGTGAGAGAGTCCTTTAAGTGATTGATTTGGTAGTCTGCGCCAATAAATGGCCGTCTATANAATTTTCTTGAACTGTTTTCGAACATTTTTTGGTCCTTCGAGCCGGATCAACTCGCGGATGTGCGTACGGTTTAACTTGCGGACATCTTTTTCGAGTTAGCGGCGATTCTGATTAATATTATAGATTATTTATAACTAATTTCTTTCGGTACTGAGTTAATTATTCTAGTTCGGATATTTTCTAACGAAACTTTATTTCTTCGCATTCAAGATGTCTACTGAAGAAAAAAAGAGAGACATAAACGCGCTTTTCGAGCAACAAAACGACTTTTTCGGTACAATTTCTCGCGTTATAGACAATACAAAAAAGATGGGGAGAGGTAACTGGACAACCAGCCAATGTGCCTTATTAATGAACCCGCGCAATTACTTAAGAACTTATTAGTTACCAACGACAATTTTCAACGGGCGTGGACGTTATTGATAGAACGTTATGAAAATCGTCGCGTTATGGTAGACACACAATTAACGCTATTGTTGTCGGCGCGCTCTCTTAAAGCTGAATCAGCTTCTGAATTGAAGAACCTTCTCGGGGAAGTTAAAGAAGCATTGGGGGCATTGGAGTCGTTGGGATGTCCGATAAAGTATTGGGATAATATTTTGTTTTATTTGATCGTTCGCAAGCTCGATTCAGAAACGGCTAAAGATTGGGAAAAGTCCATTAGCAGTTATCGTGACCCTTCAACATTCGAGGAGTTTGAGGAATTTCTTGTTCGTAGGATCTACACCCTTGAAGCGATCGAAAAGCTGCCTGGAAATAATAAAAGAGTTACGCAATCGTTTAATAAAAATTTTAATTTCAAATCTCACAACGCATCAGTTCCAACTTCGGGATGTTCGGCTTGCGGCGCTGCTCATTACATTGCCACTTGCCCAGAGTATTTAACACGGAATGCGTCTCAAAGAACAGATTTAATAATCTCACGGGGTCTCTGTTTTAATTGTTTGGGGCCACACTTGTTTAAAAAATGTCGAGTTTCTAAACGGTGTCGGTTCTGTAACAAGCCCCATCATTCCACCCTTCACGAAGCTCCTCCCGAGGCACGTATATTTAATAATAAAAACACCAATCCACAATCGAACTCTCCAGCGAAACAGCTTCCTTCATCAAGCCATGTCGTGCACTCTCATCACCTTCAGACTTCGGTGCTCCTTGCCACGGCTTTAGTGCGGATCATCTCGCCCCGCGGAGATTCGTTAATAGTTAGTAATAGGTATTAATATTGATAGGTATTAATAGGTACTAATAGTTAGAGATTCATTAGTTCAACAGCTTCATCTTCAACGGCGTTCAGCGAACGTTCCTATAACCGGGATCGGGTCGAAGCGTACCTGCGTTACCAACGGCGTGGTATCGGTACGGTTGGTTTCGCGACTGAATCCGATCATTTCCTTCGAAGAGGAAACTTTAATTTTACCACAATTAACCTCTTATTTGCCTCAAAAGCGTTTTAAACACTTACCGATTGAAATGAGTGACCTGCCTTTAGCGGATCCAGAGTTTACCTCAGAAAGAAAAATCGACTTAATACTGGGAGTTCAGTTTTATTCAAAAATAATTCAAAACGGTGTATTAAAGAGCAAAGACGGTCTTTTAATTGCGCAGCAAACTGCCCTCGGTTGGGTTCTTTCCGGCGCGTTATCTGAACAACCTTCTAATCATTCGAGCTCTTATGGTTTTCAATGTTCCATCGACCGGGAATTCCTCGACGTGATGCAGCGCTTCTGGAAGCAAGAAGATGATACCGTCAATATTCCGCGTCTTTCATCTGACGAACGCGAGTGTGAAGAGCACTTCACACAAACTCATTCGCGAGATTCGAACGGTCGATTTTTAGTACGGTTACCTTTTCGGAAGTCGCCTAATGAGCTCGGAACTTCTTATTCGGTCGCTGTGGGTTCTTTCAACCGAATGGAGTTAAGGTTCGCGAAAAATGAACAGCTCAAGTTCGAATATAGTAAATTTATGAGCGAGTATCTTTCATTGGGACATATGCGGCATGTTTCTGGGAAATTAACTTTTCCGAACTATTATTTACCTCACCATGGAGTCGTTCGTGAAACCAGTTCGACCACGCGATTGCGGGTGGTTTTTAACGGGTCCCAACCAACGTCAACGGGAGTGTCACTAAACGATTGCCTTCATACGGGACCAAAACTCCAGAACGAATTAATAGACGTTTTAATGCGGTGGAGGCGCCACGCGGTAGCTTTTTCGTGCGATCTTGAGAAGATGTACCGCCAGATCAAGGTGCATGAGGATGATTTACCATTCCAGAGGATCATGTGGCGGGAAGACTCTTCGCAAAAGCTTAAGAGCTACGAACTCACCACGGTTACGTACGGTCTTTCATGCGCGCCTTACTTGGCAATTCGTTGCCTTCGTCAACTCGCGAACGAACATCATTCTCGTCAACCTCTCGGCGCGGTGATACTTTTCAAAGACACGTATGTTGACGA